CGATTATGTGTGGCACGCACGCACGTATAACGTCCGCGCGCGCGCGCGCGCGCGCGATGCGCGCGAGCGCGGAGGTTACGTAACGCGCTCGCTTCGCGCGTTTCTATTAATGTCGCTAATAGGCCGAGTATTAATCACGCTCCGCTCGTTTGTAACGTGTACACACGGCCGTCCGTGACACCGGCACGCCCATCACTTTCGCGCGGCGGGGCGCCCAGGCACGCTCGTCCTTTTCGAATTTTGGGGACAATGCGGATGATGTATCTCGGACGAGATCGGAAGGTCATGGTTTTTAAACAGGCACGGACTTGCATCGACACGCGCGGGAGCCGAGTCCTGACATTCGCAGAGAGCGACGGCTCGTCTCAATCGCGCGGCGATTTTCCCTCGAACGAAACTGAAATGTTACAAACACGTTGGACAACAATCGAGAGCGACTCGTTCGTTTCGAAAGTGTATCTCTAGTGCATGGATAAACATTGGCTAAACATTGGTCCAATGTTGGTTATTAGAAGTGCATTGGCCGATATTGTTCAACATAGAGCCAATACTGGCCATGAAATAAATATAAATATTGCACGATAATCATTATAATATAATATTAGATTTATATTGGGAGCACACTGGCCAATATTTAACAATGTAATAAGAATGTTGGTCTAATATTGGTACAATATTAAACCAATATTGTTAAATAGACATGTTGGCTAAATAAGAGAAGGCGTTCAGCTTACAATATTGGACCAATATTGGGAATACTAGATTTACATTATTCCCCGATATTGCGGCAATATATTGTGAGGGAAACGCGTTGGAAAACAATAGCGATAACGGCGACGCGTTCGTTTCGAGAGTGTATCTTATAAAAACTCGATACACCGGAGTTCTTGGCGATAAACATCGGCGATGCGCGCGCGCGCGAATCTCTGGAGAGATGTGCGATTTCAGCGTTTATGAAACACCCTGTGTTCCCGATGATAAGAGAGTATCAACAGACTCTCGTTATCTCTACACGTAAACGATCGCGAGGTGGCTTTGTATAGCGCGGCTGGTGTATGTGTACGAGGCGAAGATTATGTTTCGCTCTTACGGACGTTCGCTACGTCCTTTTATTTCCCGTAATTTCTTGGATAATTCGCCGGATTAGTGCGAGCTCCGTACGTAGGCGCTCGCTCGCTCGCTCGCTCGCCCCGAGGCCGCTCCCGTGTAATTGTTATACACCGCGTAATACCGATCGCGCGCAGGAGAAAAAGAAGAACGAACGAGAGGCCGAGGCTTCACGGTGCATTTTGATGATTATTACCTCTAGTCCGTCGGTTTTTGCCGCCCAAACCGGTTTTTAATAAAATTCAGCTCTTCGATTATGTCGTCGGACGCAATCGGAGAGCGCATCGTCCGGCGAGGTCCGACGGAGACAGAGACAGGGAAGAGAGAGAGAGAGCGAGCGAGCGACAAGTGTGCGCGCGCGCAAGAGAGAGAGAGAGAGAGAGAGAGAGAGAGAGAGAGAGAGAGAGTCGCGGGAGAAACGAACGAGACGGCACGAACGTCGTGTTATTCGCGATCACGTACTCGCCTCCACGTAAGCGAAACAAAGAGATCGATCGGCCGAGTTGCGGGGTGCGACGACCATAGCTAAAGCCTCCCTTTTCTCTCTCTCTCTCTCTCTCTCTCTCTTTCCCGATTTACGGAAACTCGCTCGCGGTCTCGCGACTCGGTCTCGCGATCTCCGCTAAAATTTATGTGTTTTGATTGACGCGTGAATGAGCTAACGCGAGAGCCGATCATCGCATCGCCGGCAGCCGGCGTCATTATCGCGGGCTTGTTTGCACGAGATCGCGAGAGCGCCGCAGATAAAAGCGACACTTCCGATAGAGATGTTATTCTCCAGAATCGAGGCGCGGCTGTTGTTCCGCCAGTCACGCCATCAGGCATTTTGCGGCGAGAGACGGCTGGATCTCCGCGCGCCGGGGATCCCGGCGACTCGCCGATCGCAGATCCGATTCGACCCTAAAAAGCGAGCTCGCCTTATCGATACGCGCTCGGTCCGATGCCACTCGAGCCGGCTGTATTTATGAGCGCGCCGATAAGAGACGGGGCGCGTACACCGTCGATTCTCAAAGATTCGAACGCGATACGCGATCGCTCGCCGATCCACGCGGGTCTCTCGTTCCAGATGGATTCTTAAGCCCGTGTCACACTACGTATTATGGATCGCGGATCGCAATTCAGCCAATCGGATACGAGACCGTCTCATCCGATTGGCTGAAATGCGATCCGCGACCCCCAATCCCAATCCGTTTCGCGATCTTTAGGCTGGATTCACACCTAGACAGAAAAGCAGAAGCCAATCAGAATTCGCGCTGGTAGTAAACAGCGCACTCTGCTGGCAGAAAGTAGAAAACTTTCGACTACCAGCGAGAGTTCTGATTAAATTTCTGCTTTTCTGTCAAGCGTGGATCCAGCCGTGTAGGCTCGCGTTGCGCGGGGTCATTGGCAGCGTAGAAGCCCGAATTTATAGATCGTCGCGGGACCTGTCGGGCAGGTTTCTTAGGATTTCTTAGGACCCCTTAGGTGATCTGGCATTGTTGGGCCCCCTTCCTGTCCGCGAAGCCCCTCGGAGTCGCAGGTGTCCGATGCCGATCCTCCGCGCGTTTCATATGCATTTCCCGCTCTGGCCGTCCTCTCGCGTTCGTCGATCTAAAATTTACCCGCGGGATGCGGCGTAGGTGCCGAACCGAGGAAGCAGCGAACAGATTATCCCCCGCACGCTCTTTATCTCGAGTCCTCTCCTACGAGAATCGTCCGTAATTTGTTTTGAAATGTAGAACGCGAGACACGAAGAGAGATAATTCCTCCCGCACCTCCGCGCACCTTTCTCGCGCCCTTAAGCTCCTCGTCCATCGCAATTTCCATAATCGCGGCGGATCTTCGTACAACTCCCGCGAATATGAAGCTTTTACTCCGAATGCATCCGCCGGCGGCCGCGTATCTATTGTCCGAACGTGACCGTCTTTGTATTAAAAGCAACGGCGTCCGTAAACGGCACGGCCGCGCTAATCTTGTAGCTCTCGTTACATAAATCCCGGTCTCGCGTGCGACCCAACGTGTCCTCCGGATTAGAGGCCGATAAAGAAAAAGACACTTATCACGTACAACCTATTTGTCAGCGCGCGCGGCGCGGCGCGGCGAAAAATAATTCTCGCCGTTCTCGAAAGCAAATAACATTTTCCCCCGTTTCGTAACGAACGTGACCGGGCGACTCGCGCGGCTATAGAAAAATAGAGTGGCATCGGGAAAAATTGCGCGAGCGACCGTGCACCGTCGAGTCGGACGTCGCTTCGCGCGAGTCTAAAAAAAGCAGGAGAGCCGATGATTAATCGCGTAACCGAGCGACGCGAAAACTAAGTACGCTCGAAAAGGACGCCGCTTCCTTACGTGCGCCGATAAGAACGAGGTGCCTCGCGTCGGGTGAATCGACGTCTGTGAATACTTTTTCGCGCGGCCGCTCGGGGCTCGCTAGATCGAACGCTCGCCTCGCCGTGCGCTTCTCCACGCAATTGGAAATCTTACGCAATGCGCGCGGTTTTCACAATCAGCCTCTTTTCTTCTTTTTTTTTCCATTCGTCACGCGGTCTTTAAACATCCGATTGCAAGAGTTAGGCCGGCATTACATATTTGTCGTACGACAAATCTTTCAAGCGTGTCGCTTGGCTGCAGAATAGAAAAGCTCTCGAGTCTCTAGCGTACGTCGTACTTACCTCAAATTACATATGGCGTTACTTTTACGCCAAAACTTGTACGCTATCTACGTTTACGCTTGCGTCTTTGTCGTAAGGTGTTACGTTGCTTTGTGCTCTGTCCCTTAAGCTGGCATTACATTTGTCGCGCGACAGATTTCTCAAGCGTGTCGATTGGCTGCAGAATAGAAAAGTTCTCTAGAAATTTTTTATTCTGCAGCCAATCAACACGCTCGGAAAACATTGCCGTGCGATAAATGTACAATAATATTAACCTTAGGCTTAGGTATTACGTTTATCGTACGACACGTTTGCCACCGTAACAGGAGTTCTCGAGGATCTAGAAATTTTCTAGCTCGCCTATTCAAGTGGCCTGTCAACGCGCTTATAAAAACAGTCGTACGACACATAGCACCCTCGGTGAAAAATGTTGCCGAGGGAAAATTGTCGATCGCGCGATTCCTGGCCGCGACGGCTTTTTTCCAGCGCCAACCTTCGGCCACGGCCCAGGGTCAGCTGATCTCGTGCCACGGCAAAACACAACACCTCATTCTGAATCTCCGAAACAGGTTTCTCTCCCCCTGCGGGACGTGGCCAGGAGGAAGTTGTACGTTCTCCCTCCACACGCCGAGGGGGGGATCTCTCTCATTTCTTGCCTAAATCGCCTACGCTTAAAAAGTCGCTACCGGCGAAGGGCCCCTCCTCCCTTCCTCCCCCCCCCCCCCGCCTCGTAGTAATTTCACCTGCGGTTTTAATACGCGCGTCTCGCGCCGCGTTAAAAGCCGCGATGAAACGTCGCGCGACCGTAATGCACGCGGTCGACGAGCGGCAGGAGGGAGGGAGGGAGGGAGGGAAGAAAACAAAACGAGCATCGTGGGCGAAAAAAAAATCCCCGATGTACCGTCGTCACCGGCGGCAACAGCGGAGCGGACGGTCGGTCCAACCCCACCGCTCCCCTCTCCGCCTTGCGAGCAGGATCGCTCCCGCACGTTCCCGCACGTTCCCGCACGCTCACGCTAGAGCCGGGGTGCCGAGCGAGCGCGAGAGCCGAAGGCCGGCGCGAAGCGGCGCCGGAAACGTCCGAAGCCGCGGACGCACTGCCGAAACGTCACGTAGGCGGCGTGTTGCTAGGCGGTCGGGCAGAGGTGGCGCGCGGCGAGGCCGGTGGGGCGAGGGGGCGAGGGAGGGGGGGGGGCCGCGGAGGCTCCCGCGGAGTGGGAGCGTCCCGTATATAAGTCGCGTCAGCCGCCGCCGGCCGATCAGTCGAAACGGTCTGGGTCGCCGCACGGTGTCGTTTCGCGCGATCTCTCGAGTCTCGCCCCCTCCTCCTCCTCCACCCCGCGAGGATCAGCCCCGGTGAAAGCTCGTCTCCCGGTGATCCGATCTCCCCGTCCGGTCGCCCTGCTCGCGCGCACGTCGCTCGCCGTCAGCTCGCCGTCGACGAGCTCCCGTTCGCGCGGAGGATCGCGCCGCCGTTCGGCGAGGCCGACGAGAGGACAGCCGTCGTCGTGTCCATTGTGCGCCCGCCGCCGGGAGTCCCCGCGACACCATGGAGGTCCTGCCGTGCCCCGTCAACGTGGACTTCAGCAACACCCGAGGTAAGCGCCGGCTCCCCCCTGCCCCCCCCCTTTAACGCGCCGCCGTCAGCCGCGCGTCGATTGTCCGCTTCTCCGCTCCGTTCCGCCGCCCTCCGGGCGAGAGCCCCGTTGTTCTCAGCTGACAACGCCGGCTGGGGATCAGCTGATTTTTGCTACCGCGGCACGTCCCGGCGGCCCCGGATCGCGAGCTCCGGGCTCGCGACGATCTCTTCGGGCGCACCGGCGATGTACCGGCGAAACCGCGAGTTATGGTTGCGTCAGCGGGTCTTCCGATCGTACGAGGGAGAGGAGGGGGGGGGGGGGAGAGTGCCCTTCGCTGCCGTTTTTCCACGCTCTTCGATCGTTCCCCCTCGCGTCTAACCGCCCGTGCGTGTTTGTAAATGGAAGTTTCCCAAAAATTCACCCGCTCGCCGGTTCCACCGGTAAATATAAATACGGATCGACGGCGTTAACGCGTACGCGAGGTGACGAGCCGCTTCGGATCGCCGTAGATCGCGAGAGACGTTAATGTGTGGTAGCTGTGCGCTCTTTTCTTCAAATTGGCGAACGATCGTGCCCCGCGATTCCCCCTCGGCCTCGTTTCCGGAAATTTCGGCGACGCGCGGGCCAGGAGACGCCCCGGTGTGGGATTTTCGGACGAAGAAAGTGGCCCGGTGCTTGGGGAAAAGTACGCGAGACACGCGCACGGTAATTGTTATCGGAGGCGAGTCCCCTGTTGTGCGATGGGTTTCCAACGCCCGAATGTTAGCGGCGAATTTTCCATCGAACGGACAAGTTCACGGTGGTGCGAGCCGACGGTGCCCGCTAATTGTACGGAGAGCCCGCTGTCCCATATTAAGATCCTGTCGCACAACAGGGGACTTTACGAGCCACGGCGAGTGTCGTGATCGCTCGCGTTTGGTTTTCAATGAATGCCGACGATTATTATTGGAGGAGAGTCCCTCTGTTACGAGACAGCCGGTTCCCAGCGCCCCGATTCAATCGCCAATCTTTTCACGCGACTATTACGCAATTTAACGACGAACCTTCCGCCAAACGGATCTCGGCTCCGAGGGCAGTGAATTCACGCGGCGACGCCAATAGACGGTGCTCGTTAATTTAAGCCGAAACCCTGTTATTTCATGTTGGAAGCTCTTGTCTCGTAACAGGGGACTCCCCTCTGCGGAGCAGCGGAGCCCCGGGGCGAGAGACGGCGAGTCTCGCGATCGCTCGCGAATTTGAATTTTCGCGAGCGCCGACGGATTTTGTTAAACGCGGACGAGAGGGATCGAGGTCAGGCGAGCGCACGTACTACGTTACCGGCGAGCTCGCCTCATCCTCGCCGGCCGCTAAGCAACAATGCTCGGAGCGAGGCTCGGGATAGATCGGCGCGGAAAGAAACGTCACGGTTCAAACGCTCCCGCGATCGTCGCCCGCGATCGAAAAATCGCATGCAAGCGCCCGGCGAGTTTCGTTGGCTCGCGCCCCTCCCCCCCCCCTCTCCTCTTCCTCGACGACCGTTCTTTGTTACGTCGCGCGGACGATCGGGTTTTATAAATAATAGAGGCGATGATCTCATCGAATTAATCGAGATTACGGGCCGCGATCGAGTCGTACGCGAGCGCGAAACTGGGGTAACGTCGAAAGTATCTAATCGCGGGGAGCGTGGCGTTAAAGCGCGATTAAAAATTACGTCGGGGCTCGGATTACGTTTGGGGGGGAATGGCAGATAACGTGAATCATCGGCCGAGCAAAATATGTTTTTCGTCTTTCGCCGCGCGGCCTTTCGATGTTACGTCGACGATATCCGGCGGTATCGTCGCCGAATCCGATGTTAACACGCTCGAGATTACGTCAGCCCGCGTTTTTTCGTTATCTCGCCCGGAGAATGTTGCGCGCGAGACGCTGGGTGTTTTTCTCTCTTTTTTTTAAATCGAGTATCCTCAGCGTCGGACCGTCTCGGGTGGAAATTCGGCGAGACCGAATTGCGGGACGCGTCGCTCGCTCCAAGTTTCCTCTCGTTCTAATGATCTTTTAATTCGGATTAAACGAGACAAAGTCGGCCGAGCCGAATTAGTTTTATTCGAGTCTCGCCGGCTAATTGCAGAAATGATCGCGCCGAGCTGTCCGCAGGCCTCGAAATGGAGGAAAAAAGTGATCCGCCACTTTCTTTTCAATTGACCGCCTTAACGTTTGGCTCGCCCGACGGGGGAGGCTGTGAGAGAGAGAGAGAGAGCGCGCGCTTAATTCCGCTTAATTAATTGTTACAGCTGGAAGCGAGACGGACGAATTGGACGGTGCCTGTCAGGCGCTGGCGAAGAGGCTGGAGGTCGAGCTCAGGAGGGCCAAGCACGCCCAGCTGGCTTGCGGCGAGGTCCTCCTGCCTGCCGACTTGCTGCCCAAGATAGCCAAAGATGTACTTACCATGGCGGAGAACGAGCCCTGCGGCCTCCGGTAAGTGAGAAAAATCGAATCCGAGCGGGCTCGGGAATTCGGATAAATATTATCTCGCGCAACAAGTGTCCATCTGGAGAAACACCGCGAGACTTTCCTCTCCGCGCTTGTTTTTTTTTGCGCGCGCGCGCGAACAATCGAATTAAAGGCGATGTCGGCAATTGCCGATGAAGTATTCGGAGCGATCTTCTTCCCGGCGAAAAGTTGATTGGTTTTGTCGCGCTCGATTGTTTCGTCAATTTTAACAGCTTTATTCGTTGATTAAAGATCGACGTTGAAAGGTGGAAATTCGTTATCGCCGCTACTTTCTAAACGGACAAATGTTTTTCCAAGTGAAACTTCAGTTTTGATATACTTGAATGAAAGTTTTTCGATGTGTTTGAAACATTCGACGCGTCCCTGTTTCAGAGGCTGCACGCTGTTCATCAGCTTCGAGACGGACAGTATGTGCCGCAAACTGTCGAGAATACAGTGCGACCCCAGCACCGTGTCGACCTTCGAGCTTTATCTCACGCTGAAGCAGGACCACACGTCCTGGCACATGCTGCTGCCTCAGTTCTTAAAGTGAGTACTCGCGATTAGAGTTGAAATTACCCAATCTCGCTCGCGTCGACGGGATTTTATCTCTCGTGCAAAAAAATATCTCGTCTTCCTTTGTCGTCGGACCGAGACATCCTGTTTGTTGCGTTTCATAATTGGCCGTTGTTATTCCGTGTCTTCACTTCGATAAAACCAAGTGCAATCGCAACTCGTCTTGCTCGCTCGGATCGTGCGATTAGATCGTATCTGAATAATTTGGATCCGTCCAATTTTCCTGTTTTTACAAACCTCGCGTTGCAAAATATTGTACACTTTACATACAATGCGATCAGCGCAGTTGTTTGAGATGTAACGAAACTCAGAGCTCGATTCGTTCTTTTTTCTTTCAGAAATCTCACTCGTGGCGGCACCATCATGATCAGTAGGGACTTCACTCTGCAAAAGAAGAAGCTCTACAGGTCTTTCCAGCAATCTCATTGAGGGGCCTCGGGGATCGCACACTGGGGTTTTGCACGTTTAACGATCACCCGTTTTGCCTAAACGGGTGCGGCCATTTTTGTCAGTCTGCCGCTCCGCGGGCGTCAGCCAAATTTGTACAATATCGGGAGGCCAGGAAGGAAAAAAAAAAGAGCCAAGACGGCGGAAGCAGAGATGCGGACCTGAGGTTAGATTTCGCCGTTGCAAACATTGTAAAGATCGCGCACTGTCGCAATCGCGCAAGATGTTGCGCTTAACCCTTTAACTCGGAAATTAAAGATACGGAGAGGTACACTTGGATTTCCTATATGAATGACATTTCACTTGCGGGAGACCGTAGAATCTTTTTGACCGATGATACCGTTTGCGCACGCGTATGCGGAAATAAGATTGTTCTGTGTGTTTAGAATTTATTCGTTGGATATGTAAGGAAATTGAGTAGCTCGTAGAAAATGCTTTACGGTATAAAATAGTTGCAGTTTGAATGCAACAGTTGTACGGAAAGTTGGATCTTGCGTCGACGGTCCAGCGTGGATCTAATTGTAAGAATTGAACAGTTTAGGCGTCCCGAGATCTAATAGTTTAACAAGGTCGGGATCTGAGGTGCCGAGGATCCACGCATCTCAATCTACAGGAACGGAGGGGGGGATTAAAGAATACAATCGGCCGACATCAGCTTGTAATTGTAATCCGGAAGTTAAACGATTAGGTTCGAGGGACGCCGGTATCGAAGAAGGAAATTTTGCGAGACTAGTTTGTAAGATAACGTAGACTTTGAAGATCGTTGGAGTTGAGGACTGTAGAATTTAAGGCTTCCAAAATCTAGGGATCTAGATTTTTGGAGTTAGAAGTATTGTAACGGTAAGGATGAAAATCTAATACAGTTCCCACTGCTGAACGGCGAATCCGGTTAAAGGGTTAACGACAACAACATCGCTCTTTATTTTGTCTGCTGTCACCATGCAATACTGTATTCAAGGAGAGAGAGAAAGAGAGAGAGGCCTATTACGCGTTCGATAATTGTGATAGCGCGAGACGAGTTGTAGTAATAGCAGATCTTATATCGCGAGGAAGTGGCTCTCGCGCCTTCGTTCTTGAAGAGGATATGTGATTATAAGACTTGTAACAAATTTCACGTGATACGTAGCGAGTATGATTAGTTTTTAGGGAGCGCGTTTTACTGATTAATCGTAGTCAGGTAGCTATTAGTCGCGTCGGATGTTTCGTGACGATCTTTCGAGGCTCGAGCGTGCGCTCTCGCACGAACGGGCGCGCATTGTCCATTTTTTCATCGTGAAATGCGAAACGATCATGTTGGACTAATGTGGCAGCATATTTCCCAAATAGGATTCCTTTATCAAGATCCTTGCAGGATGCCGCCCCAGGGAAATGCACCGGTGAGACCGGCATTTTGCGATTAATCGAGTCACCGTTGACACCGGCAATAATTCGAGTACGTAATCACGTAATTGAATTATCTTGTATTCAGAAGCGCAAGAGTGCAAATAACAATTTTCCAATCGACTTTTCACACGGTCTGCCGAACTTGCGAGAGAACGACCTCTCCTTTTTCAAAAACAAACGATTTCAGTAGGATGTTGTCACGGTGCGCATTTTTCTGGGACACCCTGTATATCCCTATGGTAGATGGTACACAGATGTTCAGCCCATACCGTCATTCCATCGATCGATCTTTCTCCCTCGTCATTTTCTCCTTTCATAACAGTCGCTATGTGTGTGAAAAATCTCGTTAAATTGTAATAACATCTTCTCTCGATGTCGCGATGCTGATAATCGTCCCCGCGTTATCACCGATAAGTACATTAATATTCGCGCGATCATTGCCGGGTGATTCGTCTCGACGACAACGTATTTGAGCCATCGAGTTGTCGGCGGAAGCAGCGCGCTTTCGCCCTCGGTCTGCATCGTTAGCGGCGTTTTGTTTCAATATTCCGCGCGCGGAGATTTCGGTCCCGCGAGTGTCGAACGTATCTCGAGGGGAAGAGTTCGTACCTCGTGAAAGGCTCGTCGCGGATGTTTCGTTTACAGTCTGCGGGATCTAGAGGGTCCCCTTAATGAGTTGGAGTAAAGCGGTGCAATTTCTAAACGTTTCAGAATGTATCTTAAACCTCTCGGGTTAAGAGGCAAGAAGCAACCTTATCTTAAATGGGGTAATGTGTAAATGTACATCCACTAGATAGTCCAACTGTATCTCTCGTCGTCGGTACAGTCCGAGAGACGATCCATCCTGAAGCTGCATCGCTTTAACTCTGCGTAGCTTCAAACAGATTTTCACAAGGAACAGTGACGAGACGAGTCCGCGGTTCGCTGTTTAACACGTTGCAAGGGTTAGAGAGAGAGAGAGAGAGAGAGGATTAACATTCTGTCGTTAAATTATATTGTTCGCAATCTTTCGATTTGTCATATTGTTATTATTATTATTCGTTGACTACCGTACGTACTGCTACTTACGTTGTGGTTAATATCTGTTCGCGTTTACCTTTGTGTCTATATATATTTTTTTTTATTTCTTTACCTCCCTTCTCTGTGTGTTTTTTTTTACTTTGCTTCGGTCGCTTTTCGTCGTAGCGCGAATTAAAGACCTTAGTGGCGGTATTGTGATATTAAGAATTACGAAGTGATTAAGAGAAAGAAGCGAGTGTGTGATTATCGTTAGGATTTAGATTAGAGACACTCGTGTAAAGTGTTCTTCGCGGGGTCGAGAGAAACGTGTTGCGTAGGGATACGAGCCCCTCCGTTTTACCTTGGCGCAAAAGAAAAAAAGCAAAATAGATTAAGATCGAAAACCTCGTGGTTCACTTACAAAGGGTGGCGACGCTTTAACCGGTGAATCGAATATTTATGCCAGAAAGTGAGGCTTCCTTTTACGAACCGCATTACAACTGGATGCGTTCCGCGACGAGACTCAATGGAATTAGAGCGAACTCGTTCTTTTTTTCTTTTTTTTTGTGATAAACTGGAACTGTCTCTTTCAAAGTCGGCGAAGCAAAAATACCGATGGTGTTGCAATGAAATTCACTGTTTAAGAGAGAAATTGTATGGAAAGATTTATTTGTATATATTTTATTTTATACGTTAAAATAAATTATAATTTTTATTGAAAAGAAAATGTGATCTTTTTCACGCGCTCTGATGTGATACAGTTTTAAAACTTGTTTCTCTGTTAACACTTGTGCGTATTTAATTGCTATTTTTTACAGCCAAGGATCTGGATATAGTCTCACATATATATGTATAGAGTCGATTTTCTAATATACATATATTCATATGTATATTAGAGAATCTGTGAGAAACAAGGTTCTCTAGAAATTTTCACTGTCCAAGAGCATAATCGAGGATCTCTTGTATATCTTTCGCGATTTCGAAGATCTTGTGAATCAAACAATTTTCGGGATCTTGATCTCAAGTAACGTGTAAAATAAAATTCGTTGCATTTTTTTCTGTTTAAATATTGATTCGATACCACCATACTTAATCGAATATTACACCTTTCTGTATAGCGACTAGTAAACATTGGAGTAGAGCGATACAAATGTAGTTCATATTTCCAATTCCTTTGCGATTTTGTCGCGGAAAGGGAACGTACGAGGTATCGATACCTTGGAACAAGGAACGAACAATTTACCCGGGCGAGTTGAAAACTTGTTTCTCGATAATCTAAATGATGGAATTGTGTGAACCGGTTAAAGCTTTAAGGGGAAAGAGACACGGTCCCGCGTCCAGAACGTTTTCCCACCATCCTCCCGAGTACGTACATCTACATCCCCTTTATCTCGTACGAGGACGAGAGAAGCGAAGTGGCTGGAGGGTCGACGTAAGAATAAGGGAGGGCCACGTGTAGAGTTAACCGCGCGTTGTAAATTGGGCTATCGCATTTGCACGAAGGAGTAAGACTGATTTGCTGATGTAACAAACGAAAGACACGGAGACGTTGACCCGTCTCAAGCCAGCTGGCACTTAACAGTATACAGTATAACCGTAAATCATTGCCCGAGAAATACTATCTGGAAAAAGAAAAGAGT